TTTAAGGCTATAGAAAACTGCGTGGAATGCTGATAAATATCATGAGATGAAAAAATAGACTATTCCTAGCTGAGCATTTCTCCTAGAAAACATAATGGGCTTGGCCCACAGTGCCAACCTGAACCCATGTGGTTTTCTGTCTGGCCAGCCAAAATAATGGGAAATAGAAGAAAGTGAAATTATACACATCAACACTCAATTATTTTAAAAATTATTTTAAGTATACCTTTTGCCTTTAAAGCTAAACAATAATAAAACACATAACCTTAGCTTGTAAGAAACTATCTTGAGAATAATCACTCAGTAAAACACTACCCTCTCTTATGTCTAGGAAGACGTTTTTGTTTTGTTTTTCTAAATTCTGCAAAGCATTTCCCACCTTCAGTTTCACCCACTGTTCTTGCCTCTGGCTCTCATTAGTAAACACATTGGAAGAATCTTAGAATTGTTCATGGAAAAATGATTAATGGAATCATGCTTAGTAGGGGTCAACAAATCTATGCCCCGCGTGTCTTAGTAAAACTTCAATTTCATGGGTCACCTGTGCAGAAAGTTTATTTTTGTGCAATACGATAGTTTAAAATTCACACAGATGAAAAGGAGGCAGGCACCTCATGCAGCCTAGAATGTGTTATGTGGTTAATTGGTCTCACTGCGTATCAAGTTTCTCATTAATAGTTAATATATAAAAACACCTGCTCTACCCAAGATAGATAAGGCATCAAATGAAATGTCTTAGTACATAGAGATGTGCACTACCAATTACACTGCCTCTTGGAGTGAAAGACTTCAACCTCAGCTTGACTATTTACTGTGCCTGGGATCTTAAGCTTTCGACACGCCAGTTTTCTTGCCCATAAAACAAAAATTAAAATGATCATTTCCTCAAAAGTTTCTTATAAGAAAGGAATTAACAGTAAACATGAAGGTGACTTACAGATGGGAATGTCCTAAATTTTATTTGTACACACATGTGCGCACCTAATGCGTAATGCTGCTCAAGCGAACTTTTTTCCACCCTCCTTTGTCCATTTGAATGGTGGCATTTTCTTTCTCCTATGTTATTTCAAGTCCCAGTTCTTTGGATCTGTAGAAACTAAACACTCCTGTGCCTTCCTGGGCACAGCCATGCCACCACAGCGTAATCTTCACTTTAGACGGTGTCTTTGCCCATTTTGTGTTGCTGTAATAGAAGAGCACAGACTGAGTAATTTAGAATGAATAGAAATGTATCTGCTTACCATTCAAGAGGCTGGGAAGACCCAGAGTATGGCATCAGTCTGTGGCAAAGGCGCTCAGCTACGCCATCCCAAGGCAGAGAACAGGTGGGAAAGGTATGGAATGAAGGAGCAAGAGGGGGCCAAACTTGCCTTTGTAACAACCACTCTTGCAGAAGCTCACTCATCCAATGACATTAGTGCATTCATGAGGGCAATCACTTGTCCTTAAGCCCCACTCCCAAGGCTGTTACACTGAAGATTAAGTTTCCAACACAGGAACTTTGGGAGACACATGCAAACCACAATAGGAATTTTTATTTTTAAATAAACTTTAAGCCTCTAAAGCTAAGCAAGAATTTTTTGAGGCAGGAGCACCAATAGTACTTTAGAATCTAGAGCACTGTTCTGGCTCGATTTACATTTTTCTAGCATTTAAAGAAGTGGATACAGCAATATGCTAATGCCAAGCTTTTCTTCAGTTATATCATGATCGTCAGGTTCCCTCTGGTTTGGGCTGACGGAATATCTAGCCCCTGACAGCGACAACCTATTTCTGCTGTGCATGCACCCATGTTGATCCTATTTCTTTGAAAATAAGACCTAACCAGAAAATAATCAGCCTTGAAAACTATAGATGAAAAATACCAGCCCCAATCAGGCTATCCTTGCCTTTCACCTGCCTTACAGAGTAGCCACTGTGTAAGAGGATAGTAGGAGATCTTAGGATTTAGCTCTCAGTGGGCCAACTTTTGTCACATCCACCATTGCTCCAGGGGCCTCACAAGTGAATAATTACAGAATCTCTCAGAGGAAAGAATGATTCAAATGACCCTACTCTGAAAGCAAGGAGAATCCTGCAGTCCTTCGCTGTGACTTGAGCAAAACAGAATTCTAAGAAACATCACACACTCAAATACCTCTTGTCTCACCAAAAAGAAGATCAGCATTCTCTGCCTCTCAGCCAGTAATGCAAGTTAATCAAAGACAATCTAATGTTGGTTTTTAAATTGTTCTGCTCCAGACTATGCTAGTTCTACACCAGCAATACTCCAAACTCACTTCCAAGCTGCTTTGCTCCTTCACTTATTTTCTAATGTCTCTTACAGAATTCTCTAAACATGTAAGATGCTACAGTGAAGACAGCCAATGTCATTTCCACATTTTTCAGATAAGGAACTTCAGAAGGGAGGCACTTCCCCATGGTCAGAAGGCAGTGAGTTGTGTAGGAATTTGGGTCTATGAGTCCTGTGACCCCAAACATCTTGACACTCTCCACAACAGCACCACTAAAAAGGAGCACCCAGTAGATAAAGAAAATGTAGCCTGTACATACAATGGAATTTGATGTCACAATAAAAAAGAATGAATTCATGTCAGGTGCAGGAAAAATGGGTGGATCTTGAGACCATAATGTCAAATGAAATAAGTCAAACTCAGAAAGTCAAATGTCACGTTATTCATGAAATAGGAAGAAAAGGGCTAAAGGTGTAGGGAAAGTGGGAATGGGCCGGGATTTAGCTCAGTGGTTTGGTGGCCTGACTTGCAAGCGCAAAGACCCGAGTTCAATCCCTGGTACCAAAAAACAAACAAACAAACAAACAAAAAAGTGGGAAGGGTAGGGGAAAGGGAATAAGGGAAAAGAAAAAAATATGAGCAAATGAAAAAATGGAAAAGTCAGACTTTTCGGAGATAGAAAAGAGGAACAGTGATTGAAAACTACCAAAATACGATATGCATATGTATCGAATCCCCCAAAACAAATGTAAGTAGTGTGTATCACAAACATGTGCCAATACAAAAAGGAGTCCCCAGGAAGAGTTTGGGTGATTTTTGACAGTTTTACTAAGACAAAATTCACATGCCACACAATTCAATCATTTGAAGTGTAAAATTCAGTGGCTTTCAGTATATTTACAAAGTTGCATATCCACCACTGCAATGAATTTGAGTCCATTTTTGTTACACCAAAAATAAACTGTACCTCTTACTGTCACTCCCAAAATACCACCTTTCCTGTCCCCTGATGACCACCCGTCTTCTTTCTGTCTCTATGAGTTTGTCTGTGATAGGCATGGCACATAAATTGGATCGTATGATATTTGGTCTCTTGTGATTGGTTTCTTTCACTTAGCATAATAGTTTCCCTCACTTAGAATAATGTTTTAGTGTGTTTCTAATGTTATTTCATGTTGTAGCATGCATCAGAACTTTATTCTTTTTATGGTTAAATAATATTCTTTTGTATGGCCATAGCATTTTGTTTATCAGTCTATTAGTTGATGAGCATTGAAGTGGCTGGCGTAAAAAGTGCTGCTATGAACACTGGAGCATAAATTTTTGTGTGACCAATAACTAAAGAGGCCATACCATTTTTTATTCCTACCAGCTTTATATGAGAGTTCCAAAATTTTTACTTTCTCAATACTTACCACTTCTTTTATTCCAGAATACAATAGTAGTTATGAAGTTATATCTCCTCTTTGTTGGGATTTGAATTTCCTTGCTAGCTAATGATATTCAGCATCTTTTCTTCTTTTATGTGACAATGTATATCTCTCTGAGAAAGGTGCCTATTTACATACTTTGCACAGTTTTCAGTTGATCTATGCCATTTTAGTATTGTGTTAAAAGCTCATCCACAAGCTTCCATTATATTTATAGTTGAATAATTCATTCTTTCTTAATTATGCTTGAATTGCTCATTAAAAGAAACTAGGTGTTAAAGGAGCTCAGGAAATGCCAAGCCAACATATGTCATTTAGTATATTAATTACCAGTAGGTAGAGTGAGAGATTCTAAATTTCCCTTATCTCCCTAAGTACAAATCCTTCAAAGAAACTCAGCTGTTAGTAAGCCCCTGAAAATTAATTTTTATCAAGAAATTAGTGATTGTAGGATAGGATACTTTCACAAACCAAGACAGGTCTTGCTACAAGCATCTTTGATTCTTCTAAGGGTTCATCCATCTTCCCCTACAGCCATTTGCTCTGAGGATATGAAGTGATGAAAACATATGGTGAATATTTAAATTAGAAATTACAGTCAAAGACACATTGCCATTAATAACCCTGAAAATATTCACTTGCTTTGAACACACTTAGCCCATCATTCTGGGCAATGTCATCTCTTACTGTACTAAGTTATTGTTTAATTTGAACAAAGCATGAAGCTTTAGGGGGAAATCTAGATATAAACCATACATGTATGCATCTGTATTCTCTGATGTAGAGTTTTCTCTTCATAGGTGTAATTGTGTTCTGCCCCCATCTGTGCTCTCTGATGTAGATTGCAGTACAGAGGCACCTGTAACATTTGGTCTTCTATCTTTGTGGTAATAACAGCCAAATCTAGCCAAGGTGAAGTCTTCTCCCTGAAATGAATATCAGCAATGAATATTTCCAGTAGATCCACATTCCAGATTATTACTTTAACACAATTTTTGTTTCTTTCAACTTCAAATGAGATCTTATCCCACATTCAGATATTCCCAGTTGTAAAACAAAGAAAATGAAAACTCAAAATGTAACTCTATTTTTATAATAAAGTAGAGGTCTTTAGCATATATAGAAAAGCGGAATTCACATAAACCTAGACTGAAATGATATGTTAATAGACGCATTCACTTTAAAATTACCAAACCCTTAAAATTAAACACTAAAATCAATCATTAACCACCCAACCTTAGTTCTTCATTCATTCATGTTTAAATCCATATTTAACTGATGCTCAAATTAATGACAATAAAAACATATTCTATTTTCCCCACTTTGTGTTTCTTAGGAAAACTCCTGTTGAAAACCACCTGCTATTTATTGGTTCACATATTTGGATCAGACATCATAAAGCTGTGAGTATGCTGGGTGTGGGATTCTTACTCAGCTGCTGAGACGCAGGAGGACCGATGAGGGACACTGCTTTCAGCATGATGTCCTCACTGAGCAAGAGTGGAGGTTGTTGCTCCAGGTCTTGTTAGCAACGGGAGACTGAACACTGACTCCAATTCTTTGTCCTTAGGGGGAAGGACAAACTCGAACTGCAGTGTGATGATCTGGCTCAATTTCTCCCCAAGAGCCTTTCGGGGAAATTTCACACACGGTGCCAAGAGTTAATGCTGATGCCAATGGCTGACATAGGTCATCATAATGGAACCTTGGTCTTGGGCTCCCCACTTGTGCCAACCCTGTCTCCCTGGATGCCAGGCTTTTTCCTCCAGTTTTTTTCTCCCCTGTTGGATGTCCCCACCCTCTCACCATCGTCACTATCGGCTTCCCCACCAATGATCCATCATATTTGTGATTTAGTGATTTAGCTACTTCGGATAATGGAATAAACACCCAGACCTAGTTCCCAAAACAAAGTCTAGGACTTGGCAATCACTTCATCTCACCACCTGGTCCCTCTCTGTCATTCTTTCACTTTTCCCCACCAAGTTACCATCATCCTAGATCTCTTGTTCAGCCTTTTCTTAATATCCTTATCTATAGTTTTATTATATATA